CAGTCATTGTAGTGGGCACCTACAGTCCCAGCTACTTAGGAGGCTGAGACAAAAGAATTGCTTGAGCCAAAGACTCTGGGGTTGTTGTGAGCTATAATGCCATAGCATTCTATTGGGGGCAACAAAGTGAGGCTCTGTCTCAAAAAAAAAAAAAAAGTTATTAAAACTCTAGAAATGTATACGAAAATAGATGATAGTATAGCAATAATAATGTGTGGTGGGTCTTTTTTGAAACAGGGCTACTGCCTGGGCTAGAATACGGTGGCATCAACATAGCTCAGTATAACCTCAAACTCTTGGGCTCAAGCAATCCTCTTACCTCAGCGTCCTGAGTAGCTGGGACTACAGCTCGTATCCAGCAAAGTTCCTCGTTTTTCTGGAGAGACATGGTCTTGCCATGTTGCTTAGGCTGGTCTCCAACTCCTAGCCTCAAGCAATTCTCCCACCTGGGCCTCTCAAAGTACTAGGATTACAGGCCTGAGCTTAGGCATAATATTTAGTATTTCTTCCTAGAAGTACTCAAATTGCTGGCAGCTGCTAACTTTGGGGACAGAAAAGGTAGCTTTTACTTTCATTTTGAACTTCTCTGAACTTAATGAGCTTTCTTACTTTCTGAATTTTCTTATGTGTCTATAGAGATTATTTGGGGAAGATGATGGGCCATTTTTGTTTTCGTTATACCTTTCTGTATTTAAGAAATTCTAATAATTAACAATAAACTTGATAACTTCCTAGCTTTGCCCTATAGGTCACAGCTCCAACTTCCCAGCTACTTCTCCATTGCCCATTTCTCTGCCTGCCACCAACCACCTGCCATTCTGGGCCCATCATGCCCTTACACACTGTCATCAGCACATCTTATTTCCTCTGTGAGGCCCTGGCTTCTGTTCCATTTTATTTCTGACAAATTCTTACTACTGCTTCAAGGACCCATCTCTAGTCTCTGACTGGTTTTCCACCTCTGTCTCCTCCCTTCCGGCAGGCAAGGTAGGTATAAGGCAACGTGGAAAAGGGAGACCTATAGCCAACTGAGGAGCACCTGCAGCTTCCTTCAGAAGGACTCTGCTCCTCCCTTCAAGCCCACTGGTGCCATTGGGAAGTATAGATCCAGAGTTATCGATGCCGGGGGTTTTTTTCCCCAAGTAAAACCAGAAATCTTGAATCTAATGCATTTTTTCATCTATTCAGCAAGTACTCATTGGACACTTTCTCTGTGTCTGTAGGACTATTCTGGATCAGCAGGTTTAGCATTCAATAAAACATACAAAATACTTGCCTCCTGGCTTGGTGCCTGTAGCTCAGCGGCTACGGCACCAACCACACACACCAGAGCTGGCGGGTTCAAATCCAGCCCGGGCCTGCCAAATAACAACTACAACTACAACAACAACAAAAAAAAACAGCCAGGCGTTATGGCGGGCACCTGTAATCCCAGTTACTTGGGAGGCTGAGGCAAGAGAATCGCTTGAGCCCATGACTTTAAGGCACTCTATCCAGGGCAACATAGTAAGATTCTGTCTCAAAACTAAAAAAAAAACAAACAAAAAAAACCTGCCTCCTAGAGTTTATCTCTAAGTGGAGTGAAGGGAAAAATGGAGGAAGGCAGGGCAAATAAGTTATCTGTTAGAGCGAAAAATGACAGATATCACCAAGTCTTAAATTCCAGGCAGGGATTTGGGCTGAGGTCATAAATTCTTTGTGTGCAGGCACATGTGACAGTCTCACTCTGTTGCTCCAGGCTAGAGTGTTGTGGCATCAGTCTAACTCGCAACAACCTTAAACACCTAGATTCAAGGATCTTCCTGCCTCAGC